TATAAAGTAAAAGATTAAAAAAAAATTAAGTTGACCGTGAGAATAGTGGACGAGAATCTTCTAATGGGACGGAGGGAGTACTAAATTCGAAGTGCTGAAATAATGAAGACTATAAATAAAACTTTCTATAGTGTTTAATAAAATTAATCGGTCTTTATAAATCATTACTCTATAGTCTCCGGTCCATACAGATGTTTGACTGTTTTCAGTCCCAAACCAGATCATATCAGATCATATCAAACGAGACCACACTTCCATGGTTATAAAATAGGGATAAGGCTCAAATTAGACACTATAGTTTAATGAGAATCTCATATTGGACACTAAGGTTTTAAATAGACCAAATTGGACACTATGGTTACATATGTATCTCATATCGGACACTGAAATTCCATAATTCATAGTTTTTGGACACTCACTTATGATTCTATTCTTCCTTTAATAAAAATCGTTAGTCTTACATTTCCTTTCCTTTTTGGTGAAAGTAAGGATGTTTTTACTTGGACTGTAATTTGCTGGTCTGATCTGGTCTGGTCTGGTCTGGTCTGGTCTGAACTGGACTGGACTGGCCTGGTGTGGTTTGGTTTCTTTGTATTTTTTTAACTATCCAAGTCTGGTCTGGTCTGGTCTGGTCTGGGACGAATTACAGTCCAAGTAAAAACATCCTAAACCAATTTAATTACGCATATAATTTTAGAATATTTAGTTAGAAGTTTTAGAATATATAATTTGATTTTAATTAATAACTTATTGTATTTAACAATTAAAAAATATATTTAAGACTTTTCATTCATATGATTTTTATGGAAATTTAAGAAATATCGATTTGTTAAATTGATTTAAAATTATTAAATAATTCAATTAAATTATAATAGATTTTCTTAATCGGAGCATCTAATTATATATTCTAAATCTAAATACACAAATTAAGTTATTTTTATTTTTTAGGTACATAAAACCAGGAGAAAAAGGAATACTTATATCTTTCAAAGTCAAAATCTTTGATGGGTGTCCGAAAATGTTCAGAAAAATGTAAAATTGATCAATTTGAAACTCTAATGTCCGATATGAGACACACAAGTAACCATAGTGTCAAATTTGGTCCATTTGAAACCTTAGTTTTCAATATGAGATTCTCAAACAACCGTATTGTCCAATTTGACCCTTATCCTTTATAAAATACACAGAAAACAGACATTTATCAGACCAGATCAGACTAAACCAGATCAGACTAAACCAGATCAGACTAGCTAAACCATCAAATTATGACTGCCGTTTAGTGTACAATCACATATCCTTGTACGCCTAACAGAAAATTATGAATAATGGTCGTTTTATCTGGCCATGAAATATTATTTTCTTGTTTGAATAGAAATTACATAAAATCAAATGTTTTGGATATCAAAGTCTGAAAAAGTGGGCATCAAAGTCCGAAAAAGTTACTTGGGTACACAATTTACTGTCGACACCAAAAGCCTAAAAATTGATCTCAAAGGTGCAAATATCATCTATCAGAGTGTATACTCAAATTTATCTAAAAAAATGGAACAGTGTAAAATAAAAATTTTCCATTCCTAAAAAAAGATCATAGATTTAAATCTCATTCCAATCAAATATATTACAAAAAAATATATGTAGTATTACAGAGTAATATTCAATATGGAACTTGACTTCTTAAAATTCAATGAAAAAAACCAAATGTATCGTCTGATCAGGGTAGGAAGATCCTCAAGGATAAGGTGTCATTCTTTTTAAAAAAAACCAAAAACCCGTGTGAATGTGTGATTAGATTATTAGAACAGATTTGACCGTGGGAACGGGGAATTGAATGAATAGATTAAAGGCATTAAATGAATATCACAAAATTAGGCAGAAGGTACCGTCCTTCAAGTACACCGTTACGGTCTTACGGAAGCAATAGGAAGTCATTAAACATGTACTCCGTATTAAAATGACTAGTCATTATTCGGCTAATTTATTAAAATGATTGTATTGACTCATTAAAATGATTATATTGATTGATTCTGTTGAAATTCATGAAGTTCTAGTTGAATTTGTTGAATTCGATATAAACTGTCTGATTTTGCTAATTTATGAAAAAATTATATTTAAAATATATTTTATTAATAAAATATTCTATTCTATTTAGTTTTCTCTGATATGATCAGATCAATTTAATTGTAATCTAATCTTTCACGGAAACAAATAAATTCAATTAGAAACACTCTTATTTTACATTAATTTAAAGCAAATTTATAGTAATTTTTTTTAAAGCCTATAAACTTTTGTTTGGAAATTAAGGGCAGTACGTTTTTATTGTTTAAAACGTTTGGAAATTCTGAGTGTCAATATTATAACATTGATATAATTTTGAGTGATATAATTAATATAATTTCATTTAAGGTAAAAAGTAAAAACTTAATAATTTTTTTGAAATGTTACAAGATTTGTGCTCGCGAATTTTATAAGGATGGGCGTGGTTCGAATAGTCCGATAATTTAGCAAAATGACGATATATCAAATAAATACTCGTATATATTTATTAAGTTCGTGTGGAAATATGAAAAGAATGTCATCAAATTGCTAAATAAAATAGAAAAATTCAACATTCTTCTTATTTGTTCAAGGTTGAATATTAGTTCTAATTTATTGCTACACCGTAAGAGCTAAGATTTAAACCACATGGAATATTAATTAAGTTGGGGAATTGCAAAACTACACAAATAAATATAATTAAAAGTCATATACACTACTTTACTAGAAATTAATAGTCATTAATGTTTTTAGAACTTTAGTATTCTTTCAATATATACAAAAAAATAACATAAGTTATCTAAAGAAAAAACTAACAATATTTATATAAATACACACATTAGCTATTTTAGGGACTCGAGACGACATGAATACATACTTGAGCTAAGAAATTATTAGTCTAAAAAGATCTATTGATACGGAAATTAAATATAAAAATTATTAGTCTAAAAAGTATTACGGAGTATATATGAACAAGTATTTTTGAGTTCTCAAAAACTAGTACTGGTATCATCCCTAATTTAGACGGTGTGATTTTGATTTAAGATGAAAATCAATAGAACCATTTAAATACTCAATATTCGATTCAGTATTATTACGGGATTGAATTTTCCAATACGGAGTAGTTAAATACTTAAATAGCCGGAAAGATTCATCACAATATATAATCAAACTAACGGTGGAGCTGTACGTGGTACAAACTACAAAGACACTTAGCTTTCTGCGGGATTGACACGCAGTGTTAAAGATGACGGCGTTACATGCCATTTGTGGAACTCAATCGTGACGCGGCTCAGCCGCGAATCCCCAAGTGGACTTGCTGAGACGACGGAACCCCAGACGATATCTTCTCGACCGATCGATCGGTGGGGCGGCGGCGGCGGCGCTTGTCGCAACTCGCACGAACGACGTCACCGTTTAATTAATGGGCATTGCTATTTTTAGGCAGGTGGGTGTGGACCGTCATACCCATCTTCTAGCTCGCCGATGAAACAAAGTAAATGAACATCATCCTAGCTAGCTTGTCTATTCTTAGGATGTCTTGCCAAACTTGCTCACATCCTCAAATTGTTCCTTCTTTCTTTTTCTAAATGAAAAAATAGGGTAAACTTGGTCCAAAAGGTTGAATGCCCGACCCCAAAGCTCCCCCACCCCGATCCGACAGGATGGTGGGGAGGTTAATCACGGTGACTCAGTCACCAAAGCGACGGTAAGCCTTATACACGTGCGCACCAGAGATCCAGCCTTATTTCAGGTTCTGTAACATCCGCACGACTGTTGCGAGTTTCGAACCTTGGTCACTTGGTCCTACATTTCCACCACTCGACCAAATCAGCTGCCCGTGCAGGTAAAAAAATAGGATAAACAACTGAATGCGATTGTTCCTGTCTCTCGATCTAGCCAGCTGTCTGTATGTGAAGACCACCACGTAGGCTTTGATTGCTACGACCCTAGCGGCTACCTAAGCTAGAATGGTAGATAGCTAGAATGGTACCCACAATCCATACTCAACAAATCGAATGAAGTGCCACTTGGTTTCGCATCCCACGTTTTATGCCCTTTTCCACTTGTATTCGAGATAAATTTTAAGGTTGTCATCAATCTATTTCTTAGATTCTTGATAATGTATAGTAATTAGTTTAATGTCTCTATTCATTTTTTTATGAAATCGAAAAGACCCACTTTTCTTTTCGGGTTGTTCCTAAAAGTAGTATTCTTTTCTTTATTAGGTATATGAAACAATGTCAAATAGTGTTAAAAAATGTCAAAAAATGTCATTTTCTTAACATGTGTTCAAAAGGAAATAAAACTTTTAAATAGGGATGAAGAGAGTATCTAGCTAGCTTAATGCAATCCGATAGATCTATGTTAAATGTTTATTTTACAATAGTCGAATCCGTATCTGGTTTGCCCTGAAACTTTGACTTTATCATTTTATGAGCAAGTCAAACTTGATCAAGGTTTATGGGATGGGTTTATAAGGCTAAGAAACTAATAGTCTGTTTCGTAACAATTAAATTGGCTAAATCAGCTGATTCTGTTCAAATCGATTAAGTTCTGGTTGAACTCACTAAAATATGAAAATAGCTAAACTTGTCATTTACTCTAACTTCAGCCAATTTAACCCATAAAGAAATACAACTTTATTTATTTTGAGTGATGTACAATTCAAGTACAATATTCAGTATATGAAATCAATAATTATGCATGTTGATGGAGTATATGGGTCTGAGCTCCAGGACCCACATACTCAGAAAAACAGAAAGCACAAGACACTAAGTGGTGCCCTCGTCGGCCAAGGGACCCCCGTCGGCCGGAAAGGTACCAACTCAGAATATGGTCCTGAATCCAAGGAACCCGGGTGCCCTCGTCGGCCGCGCCCTCGTCGGCCGTGCCCTAGCAGCCCCGTCCCCCTCGGTCGTGGCACGCCTCGCCGTCTCGGCCGCCTTCGCCGCCAGCTCCTCGGCCGCCTTCGCCGCCAGCTCCTCGGCCGCCTTGGCCTTGGCTATGACCATTATCGAACGGCGATCCATCACAAAGTCTACACAAAGGAAAATAAACAGGTTAGAAAGGTAAAGGAACAAAAACGAAAGAAGAAAGCCGGAGGAAGTATTACCATCGGCTTCAGCAGGAATGCCCAAATCCGGGCCGTCGGCCTCCTCAAAGGTAGTGGTCATCCTCGGCCACAGTTGGGCATCGTCCTCCTTGTCACCATACACATAATATCTGAAGAAGCCAAGGGCGGTCATCTTATATTCGGTAATGTAATCTTTCACGCTCCTCGGCCCCCCGTCAACGAGTAGTTGTTCGGGGTCAGCAAGGCCGGAGGAAGTCCCACCATGTCCAAGTATTCCGTGATGAAGGGATGAAGGGGAAATCTCAGCCCCTTAGCGAAGCTCATCGGGTACACTCCGAAGTATCCCGGCGGCGGATGAAGTACATGGTCCGTCGGCCTGGGCACCCTGACTCTCCCGAACGGGCCCTCATACATCTGCGCGACTAGGTAATCGGCCGCGTTGCTCTCCGGTTTGATGAGGTAGATATTCGTGAGATCCAGGTGGGAGTACCCTGGCCCACTCCTCGGCCTCCTTATCCTCTTCGGCCTCTCTGCTCCCTTCACGGCGGACACCGGCTTCGGGTACGGAATAGCAGTGGAAGTGGACGCTCGTCCACCACTCGGGATGCACCTGCGTCCTCGCCTTCCGAAGACGAGGCAGACTCCTCGTCCTTACCCTCGTCGTCCTCTGGCTCTCCGGACTTATAGGGGCTCAGATGCTCTATCTCCTCCTCAAATTCCTCGAGCACCTCGTAGTCAAAGGACCTAGTGGAGGGCTGGTCGTCGTAGGGGTAGTACTCCTCGTCCAAGCTCTTCATCTTACAACTATTAACGCCCTAAAGGTCTCTACTTTGGATCTAAGTGTGAATCCTCTATTAACACTAGATCAAAGGCCCATGAAGCAAAGTATATGAAATATGAAAGGAACAGGTGAAGAACTGACCTTTGAATATTTGAAGAAACGGAAGAACACTTGAACAAACACCTCAGAGACTCTCTCTCTAGAAATTTCAGCAGCACTTCGTGGGCACAGATTGCAAATGAGGTTACCGCGTCGGAAGGGGAGGGGTATTTATAGACCTCCTCTCCAACGGTCACTACACGTGGCACCATATCAGTGGCCACCTCAGCGGTCACCTTCCCAGCAGCCAATGAGGTGCCACCCCTTCAGAAATGGGCCGGGCTCGTGAACTAACCTACCGGCGGAGTAAAACCCTACGGATCACACGGACAACGAGCACCCACAACGGCCTATACGCTGCCGGCTTCACAATGCCAGCAAAGCGCCCGCAACGGCCAAGGCACCCAATGCCTCCACAGCGATAAGGAGATGACAACGACTAGGAACGTCATGAGCGCCCGTAACGGCCACAGAGCCAAAGGAACAAAGAACCCGCATCCATCGGTCTTCGTAACGACCCCTGATGATAACTCTTTACAAGCGATCTGCGCACAAGGGTTCTCCCACAGGGTTACCTTGGCCAGAAAATCGCCATAAGGGTTGGATTCAGGGGCACTACGGAGAGGCCGCTTCGGCCAGGAACTCAATCAACTCCTTCACCCCTCACACTCTTCGGCCTGAAGCAGTGGGGGACTGGGGGACTACATCAGCCTCAACAATACAGACAAAGGAAAAATATAGAACGCAAATGTAACCACAAAGCATGGCCACATCGTCCATGTATCACAACGGCGCCAAGGTTTTCGTGACTCCATCTCCGGCCAGGTACTTTGGACAACACGGCGCCTCGTCGGCCAAAGGCACATAACACCATCACCAACGGCCAACAGGCCACCTAAGGCAAGGACATTCATCGTCCTCCGCCAACAGTTAATCATGATGGGTTCTTCGGCCAAGAACACGAAAGCCAATCAGCGACGGCCAAAAGGAGTGCGCAAGCACCCTCATCGGCCACCCAAAGGAAAGGACGCCCATCGTCCTCGAAGCAAGGTTCAACCTCGACGGCCTCATCGGTCCAAATGTAAATCTCAACCATCAACGTCCAAGAAAGGGAAAACGCGCTTTCAACGGCCACCATCGAAGCAGGACACTCATCGTCCCCAAACTAACACACCGAGGAAACAACAGCCTCCCCGTCCACAGCGAGGAGCAGGTAACGTCCAAGCACAGAACAAGATCACCAAAATGGAAACAGCGCCAACGCCGCAACAGCTAACGGCCTGGGAGTGCCCGCATCGGCCAAAAGCACCAAAGCACGGGAATCTACTCTCCTTCACTTCGTCTACGCCTCAGCTTAGAGAGTGGGGGACTCCTGATGGAGTATATGGGTCTGAGCCCCAGGACCCACATACTCAGAAGAACAGAAAGCACAAGACACTAAGTGGTGCCCTCGTCGGCCAAGGGACCCCCGTCGGCCGGAAAGGTACCAACTCAGAATATGGTCCTGAATCCAAGGAACCCGGGTGCCCTCGTCGGCCGCGCCCTCGTCGGCCGTGCCCTCGTCGGCCACGAAGACATCACAGAACTGGATTTGACACTTACTCATTTGTACAGCCCATTAGTGGCTTTGTATTCGGCCCAGTAGCGGTCCAGTTGTAAATGGGCCTTCCAAGCCCAAGGCCTGGGAACCCAGCCCATATTTTCCTTATAAATACTTCCTCTGGAGGTAGTTATCAGGGTTACAAATTCATTCTATTGAAGCATATTATTGCATCTCTCTCTAGCTCTCACCTCTCTCTAGACAATTACTCTATCACATGTGTTTAGTGAAAAAATTGATTAAAATAATTAAGGCCAACTCTGGTCATTCTAGTATATTTCGGTAGCGTATTATTTAAATATGGGCGAGATAATTATGAAATGTATTCCACTTCCCTTGATTATTTAATGAAATAGTGAGGTGAAGATGTTTAATTATAATAACTACTCGTATAATTTTTGTTATGATCTGGTCTGAACAAGTATGGTTTAATTTGACAAATGTCTTTTCTGAGCTTATTTTGTAATTGTCCATTCTGAAATGATATAATCTATTTAGTTTAAGTATGGTGTGATCTATAATTCAAATCAATATAATTAAAACGTTTTATTATCTCCAATTAACTACCCAAACATTTATTAAATAGTTGAAGCTCGGAATTTGTATATACGAAGTATGTAATATGTGTAATGTGTCTAGGTTTTCCCATATGTCTAGGTTTCGCCTAGATTTCCAAGCTAGAGAGGCATACCTTTAATTTGTGTCTTATCATCTCTTCATGTATTGTAATTAAAGCCTTGATCTGACTGAAATATTATTTATATATCCTAAATATAATTTTTGAAAAAATATGCCGAACGACATAATTGTATATATCTAGTAGAAAAAGAATGTCCGACATCAATGGATTAACTTTTTAAAGTAAATTTAAAGAAACATTATTTTGACTTAAGTAAGGACCACTAAACAAAAGCAACCCAAAAGCTATAATTTGTTGCATCATACGAATATTTACTTAAGGGCCAATTTTAAAGTAATCCAAAAGTACTTTATTGAATACACTGAAAATATTACCATTGAAGAGTTGAAAACATAATTATGAGAATTAATGATGTGCCGGACGCCCGCACTTCAATTAGACATCGAATTAATTCTCATTACAATTAAAGTAATTATTATTTTCTTTGAAATCCAAATTTAAGTCAACACCTGGTCAAATAAAGAAAAAACTGAACACTCAGATCACTGTATTATATTAACTAGTATAGTACCCGTGCATACGCACGGGAAAGAGCAGTTGGTGCATATATTTTTACCCATGATCTAATTAAATATTAAAATAAAAACAATATTTTAGGATTCTACATTTTCGAAAAATAAGAGTTCAATAAGCTAATATCATAAAATATAAACCCATACAGTATCTATTCAATGAATAGTATATTTGCAAAAATTAATCGACACCACTCATTAGAATTTGCTACTTATTGATTTTCATGATTAGATTAATTTTAAAATTAAATACTATTCTAAAAAGTGAGTACAATAAGTGAGAGACCTAAAGTTTAAGTGAATACAACAAATATTGAAATTAACAAATACTACGTATTAGTTAAATAATAACTTGCCATTCATTAGTAAAATAGTGCTAACATATGTGAGAGAAAATCACCCCTCTCAATTCTTAGCCGATTTATCTTTTTATACCTAAAACAACTACATATTAGGAAAAAAATCTCACTCAAATTTTAGTCGGATTATCTTATATCTAAAAGCACTATGTATGAGAGAGAATATTCTCCCGTTCAATTGTTAGTCGGCTTATGTTATACCTAAAAGCACTACATATGAAAGAATTTTTTTCACGCTCAACGGTTAACCGGATTATCTTATATACTTAAGAAGAACTACATATGACAGAGAAACTTCCCTCACTCAGTTGTTAGCAAGTCTATCTTGTTAGCCTCTTATGCCTAAAAGCACTACATATGAGAGAAAATTTATTCTACTCAATTGTTTAGTCTTCTTATCTTATACTTGAAAGAACTACATATATGAGGGAGAAAGTTATTCCGCTCAATTCTTAGCAAACTTATCTTCTAATATCTAAAAGCACTACATATGAGCAATAACCCCCCCCCCCCCCCCCCCCCCCGCTAAATCCCCCGCTCAATTGTTAGCAATATTATCTTATAATAATACCTAAAAGCACTACATGTGAAAAAATCATTCCATTCAATTATTAGCAAACTTATCTTCTTTTACCTAAAACTCTTACTTATGAGAGAGAAAGTTCTCCAACTCAATTGTTAGGCGGCTTACTTCATACCTAAAAGCACTACATATGAGAGAACAAATTTTCCCTCTCAATTGTTAGCTGGTTTATCTTACTATATACTAAAAAGAACTACATATGAGAGACAAAAATCTCATGCTCAATTGTTAGCAAGCTTATCTTCTTGGCTACTTATACCCAAATGCAATACAAATTAGAGAGAAAGTTATCTCGCTTAATTGTTAGTCAACTTATCTTATACTTAAGATAACTAATTATGAGAGAGAAAATTATCCCGCTCAATTGTTAGCCGACTTATTTTCTTATACCTAAAAGCACTACATATGAGAGAGAAATTGTGGTCGCTCAATTGTTAGCCGACTTATCTTATATTTGAAAGCATTACATATGAGAGAGAGAAAATTATTCCGCTCAATTGTTAACCCACTTATCTTCTTATACCTAAAAACACTACATATGAGAGAAAAACTATCCCACATCCTCCACAAATGTGTAATGATTCACCTATTAACAATTTTATTTCACTGTCTTCTACATCTTCATTACTTAATTACATAATTCCATTTTAATTAACTTTCCACCATTAGATTGTTAGTTCTTTGAGTTTTTTTCTTCATACGGAGTATATCTTTTCAATTGCAAGAACTTCTAGTATGTTGATTTATTATTATGAATAGTGTGAACTTTTGGTTCGTAGGTTTATTTTCATTTGGCTTCTTATTCGAGTTGATAATCTACTCTAGTGCTTCTTTCATGCTCCATTGACTTGTGAATAAATAAATTTTGTGCAAGACTCATATCATTTCATCATTTATTGGTAATTCAACTTTGATTCTCTCTCACCCAAAATTATGATACTATGGACATGATTTAAAAAATCACTCGGAGTAACTTACATAGTTGATAATATTTAATGATCTTTCCAGGAATAATATTTGATCAATAGAGGATGCTCATAAGTCTATCTCGTTTGTATGTACATAGTTAGAAGTCCAAAATAGTAACTAAATTCAAGTATATTTATATTTTTGGATCACTTACATATTATAAAGATATTATTCATGAATCAACTGAAACTCTTTCGTAAGTCTATTTTATTCTTTTTACTTTTAAAGGTGATTTGATTCACCGATAATAATAATATTAACAACAACAACCATAGAAACAACAACAGAGTGAAAACGTGAGGTTGTGGTTGAGTAAAAAAGGTAAATAAATCCTAGCCAGTTGCTACATTAGGAATCTTTTGAAACTCTTTTGTACGTCTATCTCGTTTGCATGTACAGAATTGGAAGTCCACAATAATAAACAAATTCAAGTATATTTATATTTTTGAATCACTTACATATTACTATTATAAAGATATTATTTCAACATGTTGATTTTCAATGAAATGTAATTTTTTAAGATTCTCATTTTTTTAATATTAAAA